TGTGGCAGATTGTTGAACACTTTTATGCCAGTAAAGTAGACTCCTTTTTGATATACTGATAAAGTTGATGAGGGTAGGTGGAAGTCACATTTTTGTCTAGTATTCATGATATAGACATCAGAATTTAATTTGAATTTATCTTTGTTGTAAACAACAAATAGGAGAAGCGATAATAAAATAATGTGTTTCATTGTTCAAGATATTGCATTCTAATAAATAATTTCTAACTAGTTCATATGTTTTAAATATACCCTACTGCACTTGAATTTTAACTTATACAATGAACAAATCATTGATACAACACAATTATACTAAAGAGGACTGACCTTCTTATACTCCTGCAGAACGTATATAAGCACTTCACGTGTTTCAACAACAGCAACCNCTTTTCTCCTGCGGATACCTCTTCTTGTCCCTCACCAGCTGAAGAACAAGAAGATGCATTGCCTACATTCTTTACAAACTTTAAACCCTAATTATGATCCTTTATGTTGTTCTGTAACAGTTTCATTTCTAGTTTCATGTTTCATTAGTCACATGCTTTTAAATAGAATTTTTATGTGTTTCATTGTTTAATATATTTCATTCTAATAAATAATTTCTAACTAGTTCATATGTTTTAAATATACCCTACTGCACTTGAATTTTAACTTATACAATGAACAAATCATTGATACAACACAATTATACTAAAGAGGACTGACCTTCTTATACTCCTGCAGAACGTATATAAGCACTTCACGTGTTTCAACAACAGCAACCCTTATTGTAGCAGGTGACATGACAGCTGAAAACTTGAGGTCTTCAAAGTTTCTTCCTGTAGCCAGGTACCTCAGGGTCACTGCTAATCTTTCATTCACAGGTAAACTCTCCCTCATATTAGTGTCCTTCCTTATTAACAATGATTCGACCATTCTCAGCAACTTATCAAATGTTCCTTCACTCATAGGAAAATAGAGAGGATGGACAAAAATATGGAAACACCTCGTGAAATGAATGCTTGAATTGAAGTGTTTATTTGAGTNCTTCACGTGTTTCAACAACA